TGCCCTTATACCATTCATACATACAGTGTATTACTTATTTTGGGAGCGATGCAGGAAACAGCCTTTTTACATGAGCCCAGTAAATAAACCTCTGTAGGTAATCATGTTGCTTAGGCTTGAAAATGGACCCAGATAAGGATACGTAAGAAGATTTTTGTCTGCAAAAGAATTATATGTGCCCTTAGCATATTGGTGGCACTTTAGTCCAAAGCTTGTATGCTATTGAAGTCATGCCTTCTTGCTGGTTGGCCATTGTATGAACCAGTGCAGGTCTTTCACCTGATGGACTTGACAGGCCTTTGGTCTGATTAGCAAGTACCTTCTTTTGCCTTGACATTCCCACCAGTTTAATGTAAAAGTTAAATGCCATGAGTGATCAGATAGAACCTTGTGGGTCACCATAGGCCAGTAGCCATGGAGTCGAGCAGTAATTTCCTAATTGCACTTCTGGAAACAGACTGATGGAAAGGACTGGAAGTATCACAGAACAGAATATTCAACACCTAGCCCTGCCAGACAATCCAGAGGAAATTACTGAAAGCTAATGCAACTGGTTAAATTGTAGAATATGTGCATAGTATGAAGTTTGTTTGAACTTTGTTTCACAGAGATCTCTCAACTGCTTTCCTGTCTCTAAGTGGCAAATACAGCTGAAGTTTATGGGAGATCAGCATTTGTTTCATTCCTGTTTCATCAGATCAGACTCTTGTTCCTACAGACTCATCTTTTTAGTAAGAATCTTTTCTGGCTTTCATGCTGTGTATTCTTCACCAAGAACCTCCTGTGAGTGTCCAAAATTAGCCTACTCTTCCAGATGCCAGAGGTAAACCATCTTTGGTTATTATGTAAAATAATAAAGAATACAACCATTTAAAAGTGATTTCTCTATTACTCTCCAAACTAGAAATAATCTATAAAATGTAATCCTATCCATTACCCTATGAAATGTAATATCATGAACATTTAAACAGTGTTAGCTCTTGTTAGCTGCATTCTCAACATCCACATTGTGACTAAAAATTCAACATCTTGTGGGAGTTCAGACTTGAAGGAGCAGAATAATGAGAC